AATAAAAAAAAATGATATACTATCGATACCTAACCACTATGGACTAGACCAAACCATAACGTCTGTGGCTCAATACGGCTCCTCAAATCATAACCTTAACCAATCCAATAAAAGCCCACATGCCATACATACCATACTGTTTGTAGCTAGATAGGCCCCTGTATGGTCATGACGCCACAAAAAGTGTTACGTCAGATCCTATTGTTATATTAGGGCTATGCTACGGAGACAAACAGCTTGCTCTCCGAGCACGTTTTAAGAAATTAATGGTAGTTAATCATTTATAGATGCCTTTCTCATGTTGGCCCTGAAGTAGCAGAGCTGCTGATACGGTAGAATTACTTTTTTAACGATATTTTAATAGATATAAATAGGAACTAAAAAATACCAAAATGTTAAGGCACCTAAAAGAATGGTGCTACTTTTTAATTATTCCAGATGCGTGCACAAGTCTCTTTTGAAATTATTGTCTACTGATCCTGCAGCTCCTATTATCACTGGCACAATTTTGATTTGTTTTTAAAATTTCCATAGTCTCTTCATTTCGATAATTCGGTCGATGTACTTTTCCATTTTTTCTGCTCTTTTTGTGGTTAAGTTGTAGTCTGATGGAACTGCTACGTCTATTGCAACCGCTCTACTGTTTGACTTGTCAATATATACAATGTCAGTGCGATTGGTGCCGGATTGTGTTGTCTGTGTGGATAGTGCAATTGCGTTAGTGTTTTCTTCCATAGCGCTAGGATGATGTTGGTACCATTGTTGCGCACAGATATTGAATCCTTCGTTAAGTCCTATTTTATAGTGTATGAACCTAGCTATATTATTGTGGCGTGTCAGGTATTCTGATGGCGGGACATCCAGAAATTATGTGGTGTATTATTGACTCCTTGTGGACGTTCCATATAGCGACAGGTATCATTTTCAGTGGTCTTGCATGGTAAATGTCATGACTCTCTTCTATTCCTAGATATCTGTATGAATTTTTTTATTGTCAAGCTCCTTAATCAGTTCTTTGTTGTCTGAACATTTTTTCCACGCAAGAGAGTAATTTTAGCACATTTATATAGACCAACTTGCATCTCAATATAATATTATTATTATTATTATTATTATTATTATTATTATTATTATTATTATTATTATTATTATTATTGTTATTATTGTTATTATTATTATTATTATTATTATTATTATTATTATTATTATTATTATTATGGGCGGGGATTTTTGTTTCACTTAAGTTAATGGCCAACTTAAATATACCAATTTAGCAATTCAAATTTAATTTGTTTAGCTCGTGATGGACAGCATCTTTAATCTGGCATTAAAAATGGCAACTTTAACCACCTCACTAAATATTATAGACAACTAAGTAAATCGTAATATAAGCTATACTTCGTATGAACAAGAAAAATGTTTTTAAGTTTTCAAAGGGAAGCGGTTATACTGCACTGAAATATTGCAGCACCCTACTCTCAAAGCATATACCTGACAGAAAGGCCAACATTCTTGACTTTGGATGTGGGACCGGACTTGTAGGCGAACAGGTAAATATATTAATTCGTATATCAATTTTAAAAATCGAGAAATGTTGCTTTAGTATATTGTGAACTCCAGAAAGCAAGTCCAAAAATGTCCGAGAACGTGAAGAGATAGATATGTTATAGGGAGCTGTAAAGGATTCTCCGTAAGCCCAAATATTGACCCTATTTATTCCAGATCTATTCGGCACACCACAATAGTCTTTTCCAGATTTTCGATCAAACTTAACAATCGACCAATCAGAACAGGGCCAGAAATGAATGTTTAACAAAATGTGCTTAGCTCAGTCGGCTAGTCTGGTGGTAGCCACTGTGTGTGCGCTAAACCATGGAGATCTCTAGGTCCCTGGTTCAATTCCCATCGCTGCCTCTCCTTGTGTTTCAGCTAGAGGGCTGAAATAGAAGTTACAATAGCGCACCGTCTTTCGGATAAGACGTTGGTCCCGTATGCATTTATGGCCCATGTGCACGTTAAAGAACACAGTACACTCTTCGCAAAAGAGTAGGGGATTGTCTCCCGGTGTACTGTCCAAATACTACCAGATGGACCCAACTGGAAATAAGTCTTCTTCTAGACTTTCGTGGGCTATCCTTGGTGTTTACACTGAATAAATCCAATCCAATCCAGTGCCATTGGTCTAAAAACATCGTTTGATGGATTACCAAAATGTTTTTATAGGAAATAATTATAATTTAAAAAATCACGCGTTCCGTTGAACTTTTTAAATTTCTTGTCTCATTTGTCTTCTTGTTAAAATTGTTATTTATTTGATCTAGCTGTATCAACTTGGCTTTCAAAATATTGATGGGTTTGATTGTGCCCCCAAGTGTTTGCAAGTTGCTGAAAACAAACAGATATTCAAACGATTGTTCTGTGAATTTTTTTCTGGACAAACTCTGAATTTAGCCACAGGTAAAAAATAGTTTCTCAGTTTTGTCTTATTTTATCTTATTTTATTTCAATGGGATAAATTAGTATATTACATTAGGCGACCGACCGTCGCCAAATCTTGGTGCCACCTCTGCATGAAAACAACACTGGACAAAATTGCATCATTCACTGGATTTACATATATATTTCAAAAGCGGTGTATGGCACGAAGTCATAAAATATTGTTTTAATTGTCATCAAATTTATTAACTCATTTACATAGTTCTAAGAATTACAAATTTTCTGGTCTTCCATGTTCTCTGGCAAATGAGTTTCTTAGATCTTTTAAAAATCTTATGGATCAAGTATTGTAAATTTGTTTGTGCCCTTTGTATTGATCTTTTATAAATTCCAATATTTCTTTGAAAAATTATATTGATTAATTAATATTACAATTGTATAATTATTTTTTAAAATTTTGTATTAATTTTTTTTATTTGAATGTTTTGTTTAGTTGGTTTTTCTTCTGCATGCATTGATGTGTTGATTCTTCTTGCCGACTCTATATGTGTAATTGTTCTTTGTAAAGAAATTTTTAAGAGAGTGGATTGAATTAGATCGCTTTTAAAGCAATCCTTTATTTACTGTTTTTTATATCTCATGTTAAGCCCATTTGTAGTTACTGTATGTAACTCCATTTGCGCCTGGAAATAAAGTTTGTGATCCATGGACTATTCATTTCTTTCTTTTTGGGTATCAAGGTCAATGACCCCTTATTATAAAGTTAATGATGTGCTCTATTCATTTACATTAAAAATCCATTTTGATATGGTACGAGTTTACAGCCCTTTTATGGTCTTGGGTCACATAGATAACTCTATATAATTATTCTGATGCGTTTTAAATAAAAATTATAGTTTATAATTCACATTAATATCAGCGTTAGTACTGTTATTCTTACTATACTGATGTCATTATTATTGATCATATATATCATCTTCCTCAAGATGAACGCCATCTTGGAAATTGGCATTATGATCATTTCAATCAAATTTGATTTAAAGAGTAACTATTTAATTAAGTTTATTGCCAATTTTCACATTTATAGCAAAACTATAAGTGACTAAAATAATACCATAGTTTTTTTTTTCAATTTACCCCGATCCGCGTCCAGAAATTGAATTGTTGGGTCTGTCTCTTATACACATCTAGATGTGTATAAGAGACAGCTAATGTGCATCTAGGCTTACCTTCTAGGACTGTTATTATTTATATATTTGTTTATATCTATATTATATAATAGATAATACACAGAAGACAAAAATGTAACCTTCTGTTTAAAAGTTCAACGCACAACATTAATTTACATATAAAGGTGTAGTTTACCGAAAATACTAGCTAGGCCTACATACGTCATCATAATGTCAAGTCTTCTTTCGAGTGCGACCTGCTTACTGTTGCTAGCTCATCCACTTGGTGTTTACACTGAATAAATCCAATCCAATCCAGTGCCATTGGTCTAAAAACATCGTTTGATGAATTACCAAAATGTTTTTATAGGAAATAATTATAATTTAAAAAATCACGCGTTCCGTTGAACTTTTTAAATTTCTTGTCTCATTTGTCTTCTTGTTAAAATTGTTATTTATTTGATCTAGCTGTATCAACTTGGCTTTCAAAATATTGATGGGTTTGATTGTGCCCCCAAGTGTTTGCAAGTTGCTGAAAACAAACAGATATTCAAACGATTGTTCTGTGAATTTTTTTCTGGACAAACTCTGAATTTAGCCACAGGTAAAAAATAGTTTCTCAGTTTTGTCTTATTTTATCTTATTTTATTTCAATGGGATAAATTAGTATATTACATTAGGCGACCGACCGTTGCCAAATCTTGGTGCCACCTCTGCATGAAAACAATACTGGACAAAATTGCATCATCATTCACTGGATTTACAAATATATTTCAAAAGCGGTGTATGGCACGAAGTCATAAAATCTTGTTTTAATTGTCATCAAATTTATTAACTCATTTACATAGTTCTAAGAATTACAAATTTCTGCTGGTCTTCCATGTTCTCTGGCAAACGAGTTTCTTAGATCTTTTAAAAATCTTATGGATCAAGTATTGTAAATTTGTTTGTGCCCTTTGTATTGATCTTTTATAAATTCCAATATTTCTTTGAAAAATTATATTGATTAATTAATATTACAATTGTATAATTATTTTTTAAATTTTGTATTAATTTTTTTTATTTGAATGTTTTGTTTAGTTGGTTTTTCTTCTGCATGCATTGATGTGTTAATTCTTCTTGCCGACTCTATATGTGCAATTGTTCTTTGTAAAGCAATTTTTAAGAGAGTGGATTGAATTAGATCGCTTTTAAAGCAATCCTCTATTTACTGTTTTTTTATATCTCATGTTAAGCCCTTTTGTAGTTACTGTATGTAACTCCGTTTGCGCCTGGAAATAAGGTTTGTGATCCATGGACTATTCATTTCTTTCTTTTTGGGTATCAATACACCAGGGAGTTGTTATTTATAACCCCCTGAATACACTGAACAAAACCACGGCAAGCAAGGTCGAGAATAGCTATAAAAGCACTTGCTATTTACTTTTATAGATTTCTATGATGGATTGATATGCGTTGGCGGTTTCTTCCCGTCGGGTTTGAAGGCCAACTGTTTTAGAGAATGGATACGTATCGTTAAGCCAGGTAAACACTTTTAGTATCCAGAACACGAGATTCTTTATTGCGATAAATACATTAAAATAAATACCTATATAAAAACTGAAAATTTTCCCAGACGGGAACTAAATGTATGCCAAATCTCGCTATGTCTAACTAGTAGGCCTAGATGTGCATCTAAAGGCCTAGGCCTACTTTTAGCCACTAGGCCAAGGCCTTAGGGAGGGCCTACAGTAGGTCTGTATTGATTTAAAATGGCAATAAGCAGCTTGTTTGAATAATTAAAAAGATAATCTATTACAAACCCTCGCACTGTTATCGCGCCATATCTTTTTATCCGCTGGTTGTTCTTGTTGTATTATAGGGGTATAATATTACTGGCTATATGTATTAGGTGAAATGTGGCTGAGCAGTAACACGTTTTGTGTGTAAAGATAATCGAAAGTATGGAGTTGAAATCTCAATCTAGTTTTTTTTTTAATTATTATTATTTTGTTATTTTTGTTATTTGTGCATATATATTAAGCATTCAAAAAATATGAAAGATGCACAAATAATAATTATAATAATAATAAAATAATAATAGTAATAATAAAAAAAGAGTGAGATTTCAACCCTGTACGTTCAATTACGTTATTATTTTCATTATTATTATTATTATTATTGTTTTATATATTATACAGATACTGGAGCATTCAAATATTATTATTATTATTATTATTATTATTATTATCTCCGAGTAAGTTTGCATGTGTGTGTGTAACATTATCTCGTTTTGTGTGATTTTTTGTGTGCGGCATATCTCAAAAACGGCTTCACAGACATCTTATAGAATACATTTCTTCATTTTATTATTTTACAATTCTTTTTTAAATTTCAATATATATGCATAAATAATAATAATAACAAAATAATAATAATAATAATAATAAAAACAAGTTAGAGTGAGATTTGAACCCCATACGTTCGATTATATTTACACACAAAACGTGCACCTTTACCGCTCGACTACATTTAACCTGATGTCTATAGCTTGTAATATTATACCACTACAATACAACACAATAAACAATAAATAATAAACACAATAAACAACAGATACAAAGATATGGCGCGACAGCAGGGTGAGGATTTGTAATCTCAGATTATCTTGTATTTGTGCATCTTATATTTTTTTTTCTTTATATCTGTTAAAAACATAAAATCTGCATCTTACTTCTCCAATTCATCAGCCAAACGAGGCCTAACATAGGCTTAAAGTAGCAAGCCCATAAATCGGGCTTTCATGCCTTCCAGGCTGCCTACAGTCCGCTGGCCAGAATTTGACACGTGGTCGGTACGCTCGAGTCGGTCTGGGGTCAATCCGCTCGAGTCAGCCTGGCCTAGCCAAATGACTTTGGTTAAGTAAACGTCTTTGGTTAAGTAATAAATATACTTACCAATCTGCGTTCTACAAGAGGTACGGACCGTTGAGGAGTAAGTGAAAATGATTGTCAATGTAATTCGTCTGTCAGTCCACTGTACTGTCATTCCTCTCGTCCCGCCGGTCGTGAATGTGTGCGTGAGAGAGAGAGCCTCGTGTAGTACATAATGACTTCAGGTCACTAGTCTCTGCGCAGACTGTGTGAGCCCCTACACGTCACAAACAGACTGACAGACAGATCGACGTGCAGACGGACAGACAGACGGAGCTCATTGCAATACATTCTTCTCCCACTTTGTGGGGCGAGGGTAATAATATGCCCTAAAAGGTATAAGGCTAAGGCCTAGATAGATCGTCATTGCCATAATATCATTGATAATACAATAGCAAGTGTTTAAATACCTCAACATGCTGACCTAGACCTAGCTAGCAGCTCATACGCGCGCGTTTACAATCGGATTTCAAAAAAAGCAATAATACAATTCATATTAGATGCCTTCCATACTCCTAGCACTTTTTAATACCATTATCGCTATCTTTGCATCTGAAACATTTTCTCAGCGATCTGCCTACCTTGAATTCAAGTCACTCGGCCCCAAGTCAACTCGGCCCCATGTCAACTCGGCCCCATTCCAACTCGGCTTCAAGTCAACTCGGTCCCAAGTCAACTCGGGGCCCCAAGTATGTTCATTTGAAGAAGCGAGGTAATTATCGGGCAATTTTAATTCCTCTTCTATGGAAGGCCGATACCCGGCTCCACTACGTCCCTGATATATACATAAATCACAAAAGAAATGTATACAGTGTTCGAATAAAGGACATGACAGCTGTCTCTTATACACAT